TGTTGACTGGAACCTGCCTTTGGCGGACGCGGTTCTGGATGCAACTGGATTGCCTTCATGTCTCTCGTGTCGTGGATCGGGAAGAAGAAAAGGGCCACTGAACTCCTGGGTACGTACTCAGATGATTCTTTTGGCCCAGAACTCGCCTCCAACCTCACCTTCTACGCTCCATATTGCAAATTCATGCCGACGAACCAAGTCAAATTGCTCGAACTGTGGGACGAAATCAACTTACCCCACAAAGAGAGTAAGCAAATCTTCGGTTCACTGCTTACTGTCATTGGAATAGATGTCGACGCAAACACTCTCTCCATGACCATGCCACCTGACACCCTCCATCAGTTAGTCACCGCAATTCGCGAATTCATCTCTAGCAAGCACAAATTCACGCTCCGTGAATGGCAGAGATTGGCAGGATGGATCAATTGGAGCTTGAACGTCTTCCCCCTACTGAGGCCCGCACTGAACAATTTTTACGCGAAGATTGGTGGCAAATCTGCCCCAAATCAATTCGTGAGAGTTAACAATGCTGTCCGCGCTGACCTTGAATGGGCCGCTAATCACCTTGAACGCGATACTGGCGTCAAACTCATTCATCAGATTTATTGGGACGCAGATTCCGCCGACTTGACACTTTTTTGTGATGCCTGTTTACAAGGTATGGGTTTCTGGTTACCTGATGATTGCGTCGGTTTCTACTCACCCACACCCGACGGCACCACCGACGAACACATCTTCTTCTTTGAGGCTTTATGTGTCCTGTCAGCCATTCACCACGTTGTAGATGTCCTTTGTGTTCCCCCAACAACCAAGATCTTGATTTACACGGACAACGACAACACCGTCGCCATCTTCAACACGCTCAGATGCCTCCCCCATTATAATTCAACTCTCATCAATGCAGCCGACGCCTGCATCAACTTCAATATACAACTCAGAGTCCTGCATATTGCCGGAGAACTCAACAGCGTCTAGTGTTGCCAAAGTTCAGTTCAGTTCGGTTCTTTGGCACTTTTCGAGAACCGAGAACTGGACTGACAACCTCTGAGCAGAACTGAGGACCGAACAGGACTGAACCGGTAAGAACCGTTCTTTCCTGTTCAGTTCCATTCAGTTCTCAGTTCGAACTGCCGAACTGGCGGAAAAAATGGTAATTTGTCTCCATAAGGGGGATTATGTACTCTAGCAACTACTAATATAGCTACATTCTGGCTGAGCATCAGCCTCAATTGAAGCGTCGAGAAGGCGCGTTTTGTAAGTGTGCTTGAAAATTTGCACCCAGCCAAAAAGAAGTGGCTCCATGCGATTATTAAGTACACACTCGAAAAAGCTCGTTCAGAAGCTACAGAGGAGCCAATGACAGTAAGTGCGCACACACGCCAGTCAACTTTCATCGCTGACCTTTCCCTGGGACTTCATCTCAAATCCAACATTGTGCAACCTCACGAACACGGCGGTTGGCAAGGACGACGGTTTGCTTTTATTCTTATGGACAATAATAATGGCCTCGTACAGCAGGTAACCAGTAAGCCTTCATTTTTGTTATTGATAATGACCATGTATCTACGAGGGGGGTCTCTAGCTGTCAATCCCACGAAATCAATGATTAGCTTCGGCAACAAGTCGCGTGCACTTGAGTCCGGACAACGGCATCCTCGACGATCATGCTCA